AGCACATAAAATTCTTGAAAACAAAGAGAAGTGCTAATGTATCAGAACTGTTGTTATAATCATTCTTTCTATCCTAAGTTTTTTTTTTTTTTTTTGTGAACAGTTTCGTAATGTGCATACTAATACATACACAGCAAGTAGAGAATTGCATTTTTATTGGCACATTTATAACGATGATGATAACATTATGGGTTAAAACATGGGTAGTAAGGATAGAAGAACAATAGAAACGGATGATGATGATCGCTTTCAAATGAAGTTTCTCTTAAACCCTGTGCACACTATAAAATTTTCTTTGACAAAAAACTGTTGTATGCCCATATATAGTCATGATATCATATATATATATATGGTGATGATGTGGTATGTCGCATGTTTTTGTCGGATATAAAATTTGGTAGTATGGAAAAGGCATTGTTGCAGCGCATATTACTTTGAGTATGAAATATTGGTTCTTGTTGATTTTGCATCGATCGTGTTCATATTATTGATCAGTCAGTCCGCATAAGACGTGAATATTGGATTCAAGTTGCGCTGTGGTTCTGATTATAATGCATTCCATCTTGCTTGATTGTATTCTTGCATGATCTATAGATCATGAACAATAAAATGCACAAGAAATTTAGTTCATAAGTTGTACTCTCCAAGACCTTGACCTTATTTTTTGTTTTCACCATTCTTTTGTCTTGATATACACTTTTTTTTTTTATAGGAACCAGTAAAATGTTTCCCAGGCTCCGAATGTTCTGATTTTGTTCTTATTATTACACACTTTTCAAACATAGAACATTATTAATTGTACATCAGTATATTACTGTTCTGTATTACTGAGGGTATTATATAATCACACCCACTGCACATAAGGTACCAATAAGATTTGGTGGTTTTCTATTTAAAACTGCTCCAGCCTCAATGTTTGTTCTTATTTTGTTTTTTAAAGTAATTTCAGCCTCAGTGTTCTTATAAAATGTGTTCTTATAAAAAAATATATATATAATTATTTTTTAGAAATGATGTGCAATAATAAAATGTTATCATTTCTGTTATTCATATTAAGCCAGTTATTGAAATAAAAAGTTTAAAAAGAAAGATTAAAACTGCTGGTATTCAAAGTGAGCGAACCCATTCCCATGGTATTAGACAGCAAGCGCCTTAACCATGAAGAGCAAAAGCTCCATTCCAACTAAGTTATTAATTTAAATGAAATTCCTGAGATTTAAATATTTTTATGTAAAATTTATAATGTAAGTGATAGATGCTATATTATTGTTCAATTTGGGATAGACAGATTAAATTACATATTTTATATAATGTTTAAACTTTATAAAGTTATCTATATTTTAAGTTCATTATTATATGATATTAATTATTATGCTACTAAATATTATATTGTAATAGTAACAAATATTGAAATCAGAATGTTTACCCTACTAATTGTGAATGTATTAGTCATAAATAATTATGATTATTGTGTAATATATGCTTCTTTGTTAATTAAGTCCTGCATCTCAATTCTAAATTAATTTATAATAATTTCATACCCACCTGAGAAATTTAAATTAATAATATGTAAACAATATTTTGTTGAAAGATAAATCTCTGTTGTATATCACATTGTGTGTTCACATTATTTTCTCCCATCATAAGCATTTCGTATGTACACAGAGCATGAGTGCAAAAACAGAATTATTAATACTATTGATTACTCCATTGCATATATTCAACTTGTAATCAATATATGATAATCAACTTCAATACCTAATGCGTGGGTTTTAATAATAGATCTTAAATTCACGCAGGAATCGTCGAAACTATTGATTTATAAAAAAACATTGCGTCTGTTAGATTCTGTATAGTCCTTATCAATAGATGATACACTATCTATTCACAATCTATAAATTAGTTATAAAATTCAAATTTTTAAATCAATGATAATCAAATTCAATACTAATGCACAGTGCTTGTTATTTAATAATGAGGGGCTTTTTGTAGAACTGTTTAACACACATAATTACAACACAATATAAAGTTAAGGAAGCATTGCCACCAGTATTTGGAGTTTTTGTGTCTACTGCCCCCAACAAAGGCGTAGTCATGATGTAGCAATTAAAGATGGCGGATAAGGGTAAATCCGGTTTAGGCATGATGGGTGCTACTACCACGAGGTAGGGGGCGCTATATTGACAATCAAATAGCGTTCGGAACTCGAACAAAATTGCGTTCGAGACTCGAACACGCGTTACAGAGATGAAGCACGCGTTCGCCACAAACGCCTTTTACCGTCATTTTAAGGACGCCCTCTAGAACATGGTAGTACTCTTCATGATCAACAGCATAACATGGTAACTCCAAGAGTTACTCTTTTTTTAAAGTGTTTTAGTGTAATATAGTAGTAGGCCTATACGGAATATTGTTATGAAAGAAAATTTTCATGAAAAATCCAGATACACTACAATAATACACATCTGCATATTGAAGAACATAAGATAAAATTAAAAATACAAAAAATCCTGTATAAGGCTCCTGCTGGGAGCCTATTTTTACTAGAGTTAAGGTGTGTGACTTTCAAACTCCAGGTGCTCTGTTTTTCACACCCCTGAAGAAGAGTTTAACTGAGTGATGCGGTACAAGTGCAAACGCCTGCCTCATATCACAAGCCATCCTGGTTTTTAATAACTTAAATTAAAATTTTAATTTTGCATCTTTCTTAAGCTTAGCAAATGCTTTAATACACTATACATTATGCATTATTATATATTATATACATTATTATTTTATTATACATTGTTTTATATTATATAATCAATGATAAACAAACCTATGCCAGTCATTTAATTCATAGACAGTCAATTTGGGTAATGAAAATTTATTGATTTTGCGACTTTAAATCTTATAAATAGCAAATTCATAATAATCAAGACTGTGATAACCTATAATTTATTCATATTAAAATTGTTAATATTATAAGTGATTGCTATACCTATACCAAATTGATACATGAATATCGTTGACAATACCATTAACTTCATTTGTACAAAAGTAAATTTACATTGCAACAATACAACCTGTATAAAGTTACAAAACTTACAATGAAAAAATTAAACAAAAGATAATATTTGATAAATATATTGCATAGTAGAGTTTGTTCATTGTATATGAGTTTATAATTAAAATGTATACCTGCGTATATTTGCAATTTTATTTTATTTTTATGGCTGTTGCAGCAGTCCCAAATAGAAAAAAATATTACCCGTGATAAAAAATTTAAATTTAAGACAATTTTTTATGTATTAAAGAACCAAATTAAAGTATTAAACAGGTTAAATTTTTTAAGTGTATAAATTAATTCCCGTATATATGTGTTTTTCAAACACCTAGAACTTTCTATCGCTGTGATTAGACTGTTAACCTGGAGTGCTTTTAACCTTATTTATATCTACACTACGCAAAACCGACCTTTGTCAGTGTGTTGAATTATGGGATATGTCATGAGATCTCTAGACAAATTACTATCCTTTACCCGATCAATATATGATAATCAACAGCAATCCATAATTAATTCAAGTGCATTATACATTTTTAATGCAGGAACTTTATTGATCCAGTCTGAAACAGAGGATGAATGTAAAGTATAAGTGTCTTAAATTGCTTGCTTTGACTAACCTATTATTTATCATTTTATTTTTTATATAAAGTATGTTGTTGCCACCTAGTTTGCTAGAAATTGTTATAATAAACTTTACAACCACCTAGATTCTTAGAAATATGTATAATATTAATGCTTTATAAATACTATTGGTAAATAGTAGAAGATATAGAAGTGTCTGATTGAAAAAGTTGACACAGGATAAATATAATGACAACAAAATTGAGAAATGTTTTTACAGTACGATACCTTTACTAATTAAATTAAAAATATTAATTAATTAAAAGAATGTTCAGAAAATGATGTTATTAAAAAAAAATCTAGTATAAATGCTGAAATATTCACAAACAATTCTATTTTTGTCACAATAAAAAATACTCTATTTAAAAAAAAATTTTTAAGTCCTGACTAAAAATACATCTATAAAAAATTTTGTATTGATTTTTCTCCTTTAATTGTGTCAGAATTCATAACAAACTATATTTATGGAAGAGTTTCTATCGGGCAGATGTTACTGATTATACGTATTGATCAATTGCAACCTATCATAAATATTAGTGGAGATAATTAACTCGGCATCTTGCTCATGCAAGCGATTTTCTTCGTATCACATTATTAATCCATCTGAAGATAATTCTGCTAATCAATAGAGTATGTTTTATTGTACTGTGCTGGAAGATTGCACAAATTTGACAACGGTAACTCGATTGGCCACGGTCGTGATATTTAGGATATTTTTATTTGATAAAGTGTGTTAGAAACTTGAAAACATATTACTTCATTTTGCCAAGACCTGTCAGTTCATGAATATTGTATGTTTTACAGATTAAGAGTGAAAGCGTAAAAGAGATTAAAACTATTTGATATTGACAGGATAAGTAAATATAAATAGAGAGGTAGTGGGAAAGGGAACTCCACTAGCATGCCAGTATGTTTACAAACTTGTAGGGAATGAAGTATACGATTGGTCATGGCCATAAAAAAATAGATTTTTAAAGTAAAATATTATGGAAAATACAGAAGCCAGAGATAAATAAACAAGTTATAATAGAAAGTTACAATGATATCGTTTATGAACTGAATTATAACAATACAGTAATATTCTTTAATCATATTTATAGATTATATACAATTAAAGCAATCTGTTGCTTTGTGACTATGTAATTTTGCTTTAATAAACAATAGTAAAAAAAGTTGCCACTGTATAGACATATGCTTTGATATAAAATAGTTCCCAATCCCATACAGTCAACACGAAGATTAATTAGTATTTTGTACTCTTAACAAAATAGTCTGATATTTTTCAAATGTTTTTAATATTTTATATTATTTTATTGAATATTTTCTCTTGCAGAAAGAGCTTGATTCTACCGCCACTGAATTAGCCAACAGGCAAGATGAGAGTGATTCCTCACGCAAGCGTCTTGTGGAACAGAGCAGAGAATTCAAGAAGAACACTTCAGAAGTAAGAAAAAAAGGGATAAATTATTACATGATGTTTTTGTATAGATTTGGTTGTCTACACCTGTAACTATGTTGCCTATGTATTTATATAAAAAAAGAGGCACAGAAATGATTTACATACAGACCCTGAGGGAGATTGGATGTCACTTTATGAATTGATCATTTTCTGTCTACAAAAAAATAAGCACAAACATGAATAAGGCAGGTTGGAATTGATCAATACCTACTTTTCCACACATATTATCATTCCTAATCCTTCTATAATCACATCGCTCCTAATTCCCTAATATCCATTAGGCCAAAAAAAAATATACTTGTTTAGCGTCACCGCCCGACCCTGATTTTCTAGCCCCCTCTCATTTTTTTTTTTGGGTAAAAAAGTGCTGAAAATCGACTAAAAAATGCTGATTAATAAAGGAAAAACGATCGTTTTTTTCATCTCAGCACAGGGAACAAGATGTAAAGTGCGCCACCAAGTGTGTTTTCTTTTTCAGCAGAAAAAAATAGATTCCCTCATACATTGTGCTTGTTGACATTGATCGTAGGCGTACATGTTTTTATTTTGTTCTTTTTAGATAATAAACAATGTTTTAAATATGATAATAATAAAGTACTATGAAGAAAAATAATAGGTTACAACCTACGCTTCAATTGGCAGATGTTTTAGGCCTAGCCTAAGTACTACCTAACTAGGCCTAGACCCCTAGCTAGTAGTAAGTATGGCTAGGCCCACCTGGCATAGGCCTAGCCTAGCACTGCAGCAGTTTGCCTACAGAACCACAATGCTTATTAAAATAAATATTGTACAAACAAATCTTTTATGTAAAATTTAGTGTCTGTTATAGCCTTTGTAAAAAATTGGCTTGGCACTAATGCAGTTTTTGAAATTTCTAGGCCTAAGAAGCCTACACATTAGGGCCTAGGCTAGGCCTAAGTCAGCAAAAAAAAAAAAAAAAAAAGAAGAAAAATCTGCCCCCCCCCCCATTTCTGAGGGTTGTGACGCTAAACAAGTATATATTTTTTTTTTGGCCTTACGATTTTATTAAATGTTGGGTGTAAACCCTGGTATAATCAAAACATCAAACATATTGAATATCTATATAGCGATGAAAAATGCTTCGGAGATGTGTGCAGTTAGGGAAGACATACTATTATTACAGTCTATTGGTTTTTAACACTATCTTTTACAGTAAAATATGATTGATCAGACTAAAAGAGACAAGCTGTAAAGTGATTAATCGGTCCAAGTTAAAGGGGGAAATTTTAGTAGAAAGCGGTTGTGTAATCAACCGTAAATTTATTTTTTTACAAAGTTTTATAACAATCACGTGTAGTATTACTTAGACATTAACAAAAAATGTGTGGCATTCACATTTAGAGCGGTGTTTTTACGTTTCGCATTATAGCTGGGCAGTTCTAGATTGCAAAGGTCAGTCAACATATTACGGTATATAAATGTGGGCTGCATGCTATGGGTGTAGGAAAAAATGCCAGTAGGAATAAACACCTCAACAATGGAACAAAGCATTTTATAATAGGAGTATTGTTTTGTGTAAAAAAAAAATAAATGATACAGCCTAATTAACATATATTATTATGTTGTATCAATTTAAGTATCATTAATTAATTATAATTAAATACAACTTAACTGATGTGTTAGGTTGTATTTAAGCCTCATGTAGTATTTACATAAATAAAATCAGCCTTATAAATCAGTTAATTAGGTTGTATTTACTTAAATAAATGCAACTTTATTAGGTTAAATAGGTTTGTGATAGCTCCTCTCTATGCCTTAAACATTACCCTTGTTATGAAATAATTTGTTCCAATATTGTGGCGTTCATTCCTACTGCCATTTTTTTTTGTGATTTCTGCATGCTACATCCTAGCCTGTCAGTTGTTGTTTACATTTTAAACAGGCATAGAAATGCAAATTTTTGCTAGTTAGGACATCACCTTTTTAGATAGCCACATAGATACAGTAGTTACATAAGGCTTATAAATTACTGCACTCTGAAAGGATATTGATTATTTCCTAGTTTTATGAATAAAATATTTAAGTGGAATAATCCTCCACTCATGAAATTCATGAGTGTACAGTGAAATCTTGGTTCTTTTTGTGCTAGAAGTAAATACTGTTCAAGCATTGTTCATTTATTGTATTTGTTTAATTGTTAATGTGTATTTATAAAATAATGTTATGTTTATAGATAGAAGACAAAATAAAGATCCATATAGTTAAAGATATTAAACAAATTATTTATTACATCCTCATAATCAAGCTATATAAACAACTTTATTCATTTCAAAGAAAAAGGATAAACATACATATATATATATATATATATATATATTAATAAAATAAAACATTTAGCTCTTGTTGCCTTAGTTAGGTAATTATGTTTTCTATTTAAACTTCTGTTTGAAGAAACATACAAGGAATTAAAGAAAGATGAATCTTCAAAGTGAAAACTTTTTAAAACTGTTGTATGCTATGTAGTGATGACAGATATGCCTATATATGGACATGATTGGATGTCATCATGGCCATATTTATGCTTCTTTTGTCTAATAAAGTTTGATAACCTTAACAGGGCTTAAAGTGAATTCATCTTCCTATTTTTCACCCCAAATGTTCTTTGTTGTTGACACAGGAGGTCCGCAAGTCTGTAGCACAGTTACTAAAGAGTTTTCAAGGTGAGGTCGATGCACTTTCAAAAAGGAGTAAAGCGGCAGAGGGCGCTTTTCTTTCAGTTTACAAGAAGCTTATAGATGTTCCAGGTAAAGACCTTGAATTCATTTCCTACCTAAAGTATTTTTTTATTATCTTCACAAGCTATCTTAACATTTTTAGTTTGGTAAAATTGATTAAAAATATTGAAACTAAAGTTCGATTTGATTTTCTCTCACAGATCCAGTAACAGTGTTAGAACAAACCCTAGCTTACCAAAAGAAATTACAAAAGGCACAGGATCTTGAAATAGAAAATCAGAAACTTAGGGAGACATTAGAAGAGTACAATCACGAGTTTGCAGAGGTGAAAAATCAAGGTAACATCTTTATCTAGCGTGCATTGCATGAATTGTAGTTTTTAAATTCCTCACTTTTCATGAATTATTTAATAATTGTGTGGGCTGTAATTGTTTTAAGCTTACATCTCGTTATTCCTCAGTTGGAGGAATCACATAACTGAGCTATTTTCAGTTATTTTCTGTTAGGGTGCTTGTATTAAAATGTTCAGTAAATATATGCACCATTTAAAAAAAAATATTATTTGTACTGTTAATAATAAATTTATTATATTGTTATTTTTTATTGATTTTATAATATTTATAACAATGATGCATACTATGAAAAATTGTAATTTTTCTCTCTCTTTTCTCTGTAGAGGTAACAATTAAGAATCTGAAGGAGAAACTAAAAGAATATGAAGGCAAAATTGAGGCTACGGCCCAGGCAAGAGCTAAAGAGAAGGAAAAGGAACTCCAGCGAGAATTCGCTGACAAGGAGAGGTAAAACAATCAAAAAGGAAATTGCCAATGCTAAGGCGAAACTGATTTGTGTAACCCACACTAAATTGGCTATGTTTATTACAAAAAAATGTTATGTTTGAAAAGAAAAGATATTTAATGAATACATTTATTTTAGTTTTTAATAAATGGGAAAAAAATCGCTTGATAAAATAGGTATGTCTCAAGTTTGTCTCCTAATTTAACTGCTTATTTATTTATTGTTTTTATTTATTTGGTATAAAATACTCAAAATGTAACAAAGGTTGAAATACTGACAATATAAACAAATATTAAAATATACCTATACTGTATATTTAAAAAATACATCAGACACCACATATGAAAAATCAACAAACTGCTGTACTCTCGATTGAGACAGTGTTACCCCTGATACCCCTGATATTTCACTGCCTTTATACATGTTATGGTTCTGGCTGGGACCATTGAAGCAAAGAAAAGTATTAGCTGAGGACAATCTATTGCCAACTAGGACAACTTGGGTGAGTTGGCAGTACCTTATAGCTTCCATTTTTCTTATCTAATTGATGTTTTCTGCGTACTTAGACAACTTCAGGAGACCCAGATGACTGTGGCAGTAAAATTAGGTGAAGCAGAGGTCAAAGTTTCCACACTGCAAGCAGGTGAGTAAATTTAATGTCAGTCCACAACCTGCTGAAAATAATAAATCAATTGTAATTACACAAAGTGTATTCCTAACCCTAAATATTTTTATGGTAAAAAATACAATATAGACTCATTTGTCTATATTTTTAGTGGGACTATACCAAAGTTTTTATGTGTACATGTTACTCTGGTCATTGAATGCAGAATCAATCATCTACAGTGAGTTACCTTCTCTGCTCCCCTCCCGGGGGAATTATTCCCTGTCATGCATGTAATTCAGAGCAGACCGATTTAATTCCACATCATACATCCTACCAAATACCCATTATACTACTAACGGTGAGAGAGACTAAAATTGATCAAGTGTTTTACCAGTAACTGTGCATTGGATGACCATTCAGTGTCGGAGGTCAAAGATCTTACTGTTGCTGTACTCTGTGCAATGTTTACAACACTGTTCAGTTGATAATTGGATTCCATAAACCTTAGATAACACAGTCTAATAAATTACACAATACTAATTTGTTACTTCTGAAGATGTATAAAGTTTGAAATCTACAATCACGATGGCTTGTACAGTATCACTATCTTACAAAACCAATTTAGAAGTTATAAAATAATTCTGTCCACACTCAACTTATATATGACAAATACCTGTGATTTTCCCATGGGATGGCATACCATTCCTCCAATTCGAGACCCCTCTAATTCCGAGACCCCTCTAATTAGAGTCCACTTAAACCTTCAGTCTTTCAACACAAAGCTAACCCCTCTAATTGGAGACAAACCCCAAGACCACCTCAAATTTTCAGGTGCCAGAGATGGTTTCAAATTGGAGGCGAACTGTATCGGCAAATCATCGACATGTATTAGGAAGCTTGTGTGAACACAGTGCTCAGAACCTAAAGTTCTGTCCACACTATACAATTTTTTTGTGATGATATGTCCATATTTGGGTGTATTATGACATCATCATGCCAATATGTGGGCACATCACAGATATGTGTAGCATATAATTTAATAGGGTGGACAGAGCTGAATGCTTAATGATTTGTGTAGTGACAATGAAGATTTTTTTTAGTAACTTTACTATTTGTTGAAGTTTTATTATGAGTTTAAAACATATTAACTGTTTCTTTTCAAAGCACTTGATAATGCTCTCTCAGAACTTTTCGACGTCAAGTCCAAGTTTGATGAAAAAACGGCTGCAAAGTAAGTTTGATTGAAAGATAAATGGAAATGCGGCGATGTGCTGTGTTTATCAAATTGAGCAGATTGAATTGATTTCTTATTGAACATGTCCCCTGAATTTAGAAACATACCTCATTGTGTTGGGATTCAATATTTTAACTCTATATTTGGTCATCTCCAGGACATTGGAATTTGTACCCATAATTTTCATTGAAATTATTTGAATCCCAAAGCCTTAACGCTACACTATAAGCATCTAATGTGTACAAAGAAGTACCTATGAAATTCGAACAGTTGTTATAAACACAAATGAATGTTGTCATGAAACATAAACCAAAGATGAAGCCAATAACTGATATTTATTATTTTTTAATGAAGAGAATTGTAAGCTTTTTTCTATGTACAGTAAATTTTGGAGACCGCTTGTAGTTCGTAAAATGTGTAGAAACCTGATATTTTAAGTGTAGATTCATTGACGTAGTTAACCTACTGTTACTGCTTTATTTATGTGTGGCCTCCAGATGTATTTGCTGATAGTAGCTTTTATAGATTGCTGTCTTTTTTTGTGAACTTAAATTGGTTAAGTTATATACCACAAATTTCTAGAGGCACGCTGTGAGTTATGTCCAGGCCAGCTATTTGACATAAATTGCTAGTTATTGTTATTATTATGGTTAATAATACTATTATTACTGTTATTGTTATTGTAATTGTTATTATTGATTGACATTTCTTACCGTGAATAAGTGATTACGTGCACAAAATGTTTATTCTAGTGGCCATTCTATCGGTGTTATCTATCCCTTATAATAGTAGATATAGATTAACACTTATTGCAATAATAATTGATACCCGAGTAGGCTATATTAATTTAAAACAAAAATATTCTTGTTTGTTGATCCATCCATGTAAAAAAAAAGTTCTGCAACACTAAAGGCCAACTCAGAACAAGTCTTGCGATGCAGCTCGACAGTTCTTGGGTTGTTGTGAGAGTATTGAACATGTTTCATATTCTGATGCGATTGTCGCCGACATACAGTAGACCTATGACATCAGCGTTTACCTCGCACAGACCTGCTACAACGACAAATCGCGTCTGGCTATATTGTTTGACGCTGTCTTGAGTTTGCCTTAACAGGGGTACACATTATTTTCTAGGTCAGACGAGATGGAAATAGTGATGACGGATTTAGAACGTTCAAACCAGAAAGTTGCTGAAACAGAGAAGGAGATTGAGTCGTTGAAGAGACAACTAATGTCAGCCAATCAGTCACTTCAGCTTGCTGATCAAATGCAGAAAGCCCCAAATGTGGTAAGTGTGACCCATTTTGTAATGCGTTTTCAAGCTGATGATAAGTCACTTTTTATTTTCCAGTGTTATAGGCTGTGACCCATTTCTATTGGTATAATCAAGGTTAAGTAGAAATCAAATAGATTCAGTATTTCTGTTTAATGATTCATGAAGCCGTGAAATTTACAAATAATGTGTTAAAGATGGAACGTGTATTTTATGTGAATAGTTTTTCGGGAATATTTTTTTTATCATACTGTATTTTAGAGTTTGATGGTTGATATATTCCATACTGAGGATTATTTTTTATTTATTTTTATTTGTGGGTACATGTGGTTATAGATTGAGGTCCCTTGATTATATGTACCCATTTCAGAGCTTTTGTCATTAAAATGACGACTTTAATTCTTTTAAACTTTGTCCATATTATCATGTTTTACGTGACAAATATATGTGATTTGCCCACGTATTGAGCATTGATATCATATGGAGTGTGCTTTAGTTTATAGAGTGTCATTTTAGTAGCTAGATTTATGGGCATTCAGCTACGCCCGCCCCTTGGATATTGTTGCCAAGGCACAGGCTCAAAACAGAAGCATAAGTGTAATTAAACATGTATGTGTGTGTTTGATTGGTCAGTTGTTAGGTCTTATTGACTCTTAGAAAGGTTTGTTTCATCATCATCATCATCATAGGGTTGCACTTGTTATACATAAGTTGGGCTGTTTTACAATCTGGGAACACAAGTATGTTTCACAGAGGGTAAAAATTGAGGCATGTTTTTTTAAATGTTTTTTATGTTTATTTTGGTCTACGTATATCAAAATGCCATGTTCTAGCGTTTTTATATGGCTGCATGAAGCATTTCTAAAAATTTGACATCATATTCCTAAATATAGAGAAAAATGAAAAATTGTGATTCTTGTAGTAAGTGTAACAAAAAGCAGTCAGGAGAACCTTTTTTCAACACTAAAAATTATACCATTTTAATAGTGAATTGTATACCTTTCCAATATTATGTACCATGTACTTTCACCCTTCCTTCCTTTCAGAATGTTGTTCCAACATAAGAATTTTCCCATTAATTTAATTTTTAGTTCAATAATATTCATCAGAAGTGCAGTTCAGTACATCATATTTATGATTTCCAATAATTATATGAACATACTTAGTTTTAAATACAAACATATAAGCTGAAAGGGTAGAAGATAAAATAAGATAACTTCATTGTACCACAAGGGAAATTCTTCTGCTCGTCATCACATATTATATTAAAAAATGTAAAACAAATATAAAAACATACAAAACAGTCACTGTAGAAAATATAACAATTTACAAGTAAAATACAATGACAACCATCGAAAAAATAATTGAATTACAATTAATAATTATTATTATTATTATTATTACTATTATTATTACTATTATTATTATTATCATTATCGTAATTAATAGTTAAAATTATTATTGATATTATTATATAGATAATGAATTATCTTCTAAACCTCTTGTTGAACTGGGTGATGCCGGAGGGGATAAATCTAAATTCGAATAGATAACTATTTATTTGTTGCTTTTTATATGTCTTTTAATTTATAAGGACGTGATGAAAGACCTTTTTGAATAGTAAAGTTTAGACAAACATTATTCAAAAAATCTATTATAATTAACAGATTTAAATAGTGTAATGTACCATAGTAATTTCACATGTCATATAACAAATACAGTGTAAATAATAATATGAAGATTAACAGTGTGTGTTTCTTTCATGCCGCAGCGAGAGTTTACCAGAATTTATCCAGGTGCATTGTCTTTGTCCAAATCTACTGTTAATTCTCTACTGAATTAGCTGCTTAGTATACTTGCATCTAATTGTGTTGATTCATGTATTCATCTCATCCATGGATTCTTATATATCAATGTGATGACTCATTACATATTATGTTAAAAAAAAATGCCTATTTATAAGGCCATCAAACTACCTATTTATAAGGCCATCAATCCATCAATAACCAAGTTGCATATAAAAGCTGAAATCTGATCAAGATTAAGCCCATTTGGATTCGATGATTGCCAAGCGCTGCTCAATAATTGAAATGCATAAACGATTCATCATGTTTTTTGATATCTTTGTGTCTTGTGTTTTAATCAATTATTTATGGCTTCTTAGGTGTATTAGAAATTACTCCATAATTCTGAACTTTGTAAATAGGCCAAAGGTCACAGAAGCTAGTTAAACATCAACCCATATTTCTTTCAGTTGGGATTTAGCATGTGAATGAATAATATTCTGTTAAGAATGATGATAATATTAAATTATTGATAAAAATGATAACTATGATAATCAACTGGTCTGATATTCAGCCGCAGTACTTAGTATATATTTATTCAATATTTTGTTCCATAATAATCTTAGATGTTTTATTAATTATAATAGGTATGAATATGATTTTCTTTTTTTAGGAACAAGCCATTGATGTGTTGACAAGATCTAGTCTTGAGATTGAGTTAGCAGCTAAGGAGAAAGAAGTATGTCAAAAACTTGCAATGATTACTAATTGCCATGAGTATATACTACTATTAAACTCTGTCAAACTATCACATTTTTTCTGCGGTATACCCATATATAGTCATGATGTGTCTATATATGGTCATGATATGACCATATTTAGGCGTGTCACATGTTTTTGTCAAATAAAATTTGATAGTCTGCACAGGGCTTAGCAATATGTATTATAGTTTTTGAAAGACTGTACCAATTTTGCTAAAGAATATTGCTGTTCTAGAAATTTTTTAGGCACTCTTTTCATATTATTTCTATTCAACCAGAAATATAAGTAGGTACCTAATAGGTTTTGAATGCGTAGCTGAAACATCATAGAATACTCGCCAGGGAGCTGAGATTATTTTTTAAATAAATAAGTGTTCGATCCGGTGACACAGAAAAAAAAAATGTCAACTGCTAACAGGCCTTTACATTAAGCTCTATGTCAGACCAACTCATTGGTATTATTATATTGTTGTTATTATTATCTATTAATTTTGTAGTATTTATCATTTTTGTATGACTGTTTTGGTTGTCATTCGTTATTGATTGTCAGGACCCAACCAACCAAATCTTGTAATATTAAATAATATTAGAATGATGGAAGAATTTCACCAGGTTCTGTGTATATAAATTTAATTGGCTATTTTGTTAATTCGAACTTAGGTTATATCTCCATTGTTTGATACCTGTATTGATTTAATAAAATTATTAATTGCCAAGAATCAAGCCAATAAAACACAATTAAATACTTGACTAGATTATTTTTTTTTGGTAATAATTACAGGATTTCCTAATAATAATGATGAACTTTGATCATATTAATTAACGCCATTGTTCAATACTGACAAATGTACTAGTACTGTCATTGATGGACTACTCTGGAATATTTCATTAATTTTAAATTATTGCATTCTTACAAGCTCCCTGGAAAATATGTGTAAATTAATTATGATCTTCATTTACATGCCTCTTGTTCTTATCGCTTGTTAGTTAATTAAATTTTCATAATTCTGCAATACTGCCCTCAATCTAGTAATTATTGATCAAAAGAACTGATTATATTATTGTAACCAACAATAAATTTATCCAGGTGATGCAATTACATTTTTATTTTTTAATCATTTTTTAATTATATGCAGACAATAGTATGTTGTAGTGTGTTTTATATTTTATATTTTTTGTATAGACTTTTTTTTATTATTTCTTGAATAAGGATTAGGATGTTTGTCAATATGTTTGTCAAATATTATTACTACTATAGTATTCATTGTGTTTTGTTTGTGTTACCTTTTTCATTCAGATATCTCAATTAGTAGAGGATGTACAAAGGCTACAGGCAACCAATGCTAAGCTGCGTGACACTAGTTCTAGTCAGCTTTCAAAATTGGAGGAACAACTCAGCGCGAGAGATACAGCTTTCCGCAAACTGGTATGTTTAATAGCGCAATTCAGGTTTTTTGGCAAGAAATTATATTCTGTTGTATAGAATAGGTTTTAGAATTATAAATTAAATTAGTGTAAATTGAAAGATAGTAACTTAATGTTTATTGTGAAATCTGGAAAAAACATTCAATGTGGATGATATAAGTTATCATTGTCCAATAATCAGCGTAAATAGTAAATTAGTCTCCCCTGAACTAGGCCTAACTTAAATTGTAGTACAATCTTAAATCAAATATTTAAAAAAATTATAAAAATGCCAACAGAATCAGTGACTAAATTTCAACTTCCCTCTCCAACTCATTGTGAAAAAGTGGAAGTTCCTAAAAAATGTTCTGTTAAAATTGATAAAAGCCTATGGCTGTGCAAACCTATATCCTGTGGGCAATCACTCATGGGTAGTTGTATAAGATAGATGCTTGTTCCACATAAACACTTGATTAAGTTAAACATGCTGATCCATCACCTGCAATACATAAACCACTAATAATTATAATTATAGGAAGATTTATAATCTGATTCTTTTGTATTGTTGGTAATCTGTCATAACCTGATTTAGCAGCTGTCATTACTTATATAAGTACAATAATTTTGTTTAATTTTTGTACTATTTCAATTATGTAAACATAATTTATAATTAATAATAATTGTGATTATAATATTTTTTCAGGAGGAAAAACTACAGTCCCAGAACGATTATGATGAAACAAAGCGTGAACTTAATGTCATTAAAGCAACCGAGTTCAACTCGTCGAACGGCGTAGACCAAGAAGGCACATCCAACAAAACTTTAGAAATGCTTCTTCTCGAGAAAAACCGTGCCCTCCAGTCAGAAAACACTACCTTAAAAGTTGCCAACCAAGAAATTAACGGTGAGTACATTCATTATTTAAATTTTTCAATGAGTCATACATTGTGAGTTTATACATAATATCTAATAATTGGGTATGATTAATTGCATTAATATAGATATCATATCAATTGGTAGGAGTCGAGATGCAGGAAGTTCATTGATTACCTTACAAGTGTGATAGAGATAATACTCATCGTACTATCAGGACTATCAAAGTTTGTTTGACAAAAACATGTGATATGCCTAAATATGGGCATGATGTCATCACATTATGACCATATATAGGCACATCATGACCATATATAGGCACATTATGACTATATATGGGCATACAACAGTTTTTTGTCAAAGATAATTTGATAGCCTGGACATGACTTTATTGGTTATCATGTGATTTACATTGTGATTCACTTCAGGGTTTTCCTATAAAATTCATTATCTTTGAACAATTTGATAGGATGTACCAATAGAATTTAACTTCTGATTACAAAACTACCTGCTTTTTAGTTGCAATTTTTCTTGTATGAACAAAAATTCATTAGGAACTTCATAAAGAATATACAAGCTTTCTTTTTTTGAATCCAAACCATTCCATATACTATCCTTCATTCTGTATAAAATTTGTTAATGCGCTTTTATCTGTACATTTTATCACCCACATAATACAACTAGTAAGTCAGGTATAAAGTGCATTTTGTTTAAAAATAAAGATAAAAAAAAAAAAAAAAAAAAAATTTTCAAAAAAAATGTCTTTAAAAAAAAATTTTCTATAAAAATTGTCTTGTGAGTGTCTGTGTCTACGTGGAGATTAATTATACGATTATAATTTGGCAAGCCTGAAAATACATAAAAAGTTAATCAATTAAAGAAATTTACAAAATGCATTTTGTACACTCTCTTACAGGAAATGGGGGGTTTGCACATGCCCAAGCATTTGCATCCATGGTCGGTCATCAAGTGGCGGCAGCGTACAACCAGAAGGGAATGACCTCACCGCAGAACTCGCAAATCATCCAACCCATTATAGTGATTCCACCGACGTTCAATGCACTTACCCCAACAACGCAAGCATCACACCACTTCCATCCAGCATTGAACCCACAGCGCCCTCTACTACCTAACAATATCCCAGCTGTCAGGCCTATGTTTAAGAGCTCCCCCAACAGTAGAGACAGTAGCTCGCAACGTAGCACGCCGAATGAATCTCAGGCCAGTCCATCAAGCACCATTGCACTGAACCATGACCCAATTGATACGATAGAAATTGCCCGCAAGGTGAAAGACTTTTTGTTACGTAACGGAATCGGGCAGCGGGTGTTTGGTGAATATTTTCTCGGACTTAGCCAAGGCTCCGTAAGCGACATTTTATCACGGCCTAAGCCTTGGGATAAATTGACTTTGAAGGGTAGAGAACCCTATATCAAAATGCTTCATTTCCTGACTGATCCACAAGGAAAAACGAAACTCAAGATGATAAATGCCCATCGGAAAGGTGAGAATATTTAAATCATGCTTTGTTTTTATGTAGATTTCATAATTTATTGTTTGGCAAAATATAATTTTTGTCATTAAAAAGCAAATCAGAATTTATTATATTAAATTCATGCATTTTTTATATTCAGGTGAAAACACTTAGTAAAATTACTTAATTATTAATTTTACAAATACAAATGTACCTTGAGTATTAAGTTAATGTATTAATGAATGCATTTATCTGACCATTAAAATGTCACTATTATTCCAACCGCAGGAAGAGAAGCATCGCCACAGTATTTGCCACCAACTCAATTGCCAACGTATAGTAGCGGTTCCACAGAAGAAGCTGTTAGCAATATTTTAGCATTAGCCAGGCAAGAAATTGATGCACAAAAATCGCATGAAATGTCAATAAAAAGCGAAGTAGCAAACGGCGCCCACTGTTCTCAAGCAAGTGTACGTGCACGTGAAGCTCTTCTTCAGTGTGCAGAGTTAGCCCACCAACAAATCACGGAGACCCCAGTCAGGTCTCAAAGCAATGATCCTAGCACGAGTCCACGGCACAGCATCTCAGGGGACTGCGAAGGGGAGAGCAGCTCTGGTGATGATAGTCGGGGGTTGATGCGAGTGTGGCGCAGGCACATGCTCCAGCCTCTTACTACAGAACAGTTCAGGCAGAGTCAGAACCTTAACACCGTTGACCTGTGTCAGGAGGTGAAAGATATATTGTTTAAGAGCGGTATTTCCCAGAAAGTCTTCGGTGAACTTGTTTTAGGTCTTTCTCAAGGAAGCGTCAGTGATCTTCTAAGTAGGCCTAAAGAGTGGGGGCGCTTGACACCCAGAGGTCGTGAACCATATATTAGGATGAAGCTGTGGTTAGCCGAAGAAAACAACATTCAGAAATTAAAGGAGGATTCAGCCAAGACTGGTGAGTACCTTTGAAATTTTTTTTGAGCTGTATAAATATTTTTCTTGCCAATTACATTAAATAGACATAAGTTATATCATTTTTATGTAATATTGAAATAGCCATTTTCATTTATTGGTAATCGATTAATGGTTTTTGTAGTAAAAAAGTACATCAGGGAAAAAACATGTTTCATCGAAATTTGATTGTTGTTGATAAATTATGTAATCCTTTTAATTAAGCACATATTTTTTTTAATACCCTGACAGGTATAGATGGTAACATGGATGAGGAATCTCAAATATCGTCACCAACACACTGCGGTACACTACGCCAACAAACCCCACCGATGCCAGTCACTCCACCTTTAAACCCTCCACCATCAGACTCCCCTATAGACCTACAAACAAACCAGAGCCAACCCTCAACACCGAACCCACAAACAGAATCGGAGCTATATGACATGTTTTCCCCTGAACCGCTGCCCGACCTTCCACCTGTACGCGACAAAGCTGCAACCATCGAGTACTTGGATACTTACGAACTCGCACGGCAGGTGAAAACGGTTCTGGGCATGCATAATGTAGGCCAGAGGGCATTCGGTGAAGCTGTGTTAGGCCTGACTCAAGGTTCTGTCAGTGATTTACTGTCCAAACCCAAGATGTGGTTGAAGCTGAGTATGAAAGGGCGTGAACCATACATACGTATGCACATGTGGTTAAACGATCCCAATGGAACTGAAATGGTGAAAAACTACAAACCAAAACGCAGACGTAAGTATACATTATATTATTTTTTTTTTCATGATTTATTTATAAAGTACCTTTTATAGACTGGTTTAGCATCAATTGGTATCCAGCCATAGTGCTATGATGTAGTAAGCGATTCGCAATTGTCATGTCAAGTACACCCTTAAGCTTTGCTTGAAATACTGTACATTTTAGATATCCAGTTGATAAACGTTTATAGTTATTTATTGTTAAGAAGAAAACAAAATCTTATTGGTGAAGTTAATAGTGGTGATGGGCATGATAAAAATAAACTAATTTTTTTTTTTGTTTTTTTGGCAGCTGTTGTGTTCACAGGCCAAAATTAATCTTCATTTGAAATAATTTTGAAACAATATAAAAACATCTCACCTAATGGTGCCAAAAATGTTGAATCTAAATTATTTAGAAAAAAAAGTTTTCCTGACTGATAGTTTATTATAGGTGCTAATAATATTTTTTCATTCTGTTTAAATTTATCAACAGCAAAGCGAATGCTGATGATGCCAAATAGTAATAGTCCATTGTCAAAAAGACCGCGTGTGCTCTTATCTCCCGAGGAGAAAGCAACACTCTTAGAAGTTTACCTCCAAGATCCATATCCGTCCAGTGAAGCAATGAATCGCATTGCACAGTCAACCAATCTCTCTGTTTCAACCGTAACAAATTGGTTTCACAACCATCGTTCCAGATTAAAGCGAGGTTCTGCAATAGAAGATGCCGAGGTTGGGTCGTACATGGATGCATTCGTGCGATCGGGAGGGTACTTAGATGGATCAACCTCAAGGAACGGTTCCATAGCAGATGATGAAGTGTCAATTCCAGATTCCCCCTTACCAACTATGGTCGGCAAGAACCAACATAATCAACTTGTTGTTTATCCAATGGACAGTAACGAAAAAGCCCTCGCGGTTGACAACATGAATAGTAGACATCAGACTTTGGGCACAACGTCAAACTCTGCTCAGGATATTGATGATGAACCGAAAGATTTTTCTATGAGTACGATTGAGAAACTGAAAATAAAGCAGGAGAAAGCTGACAACAGCGCAACATCAGCAACAGAATCGACAACAAAACCAACAGATATAGACACTCAAGAGAAAGAGGAACTGGTGCAGGATGAGTGGGAGTTCTAATGTGTTTTTTTATACATCACTTTGTACAAGAAAATGCTGCAAATGAAAGAAGATGAAATTACGATGATGTGTGCTTCGTTTACTGCATTTTCCCCTATCAGCTATCACCATACGCAGTATTATGTGGTTCGAAATACTTTCTTGAATTCTTTTCGATTCCTGAAAAAAAAATCTACTCTTTTGTGTTCAATATTTGAGGAGAGTTATGACAAAATGGCTAAGTTGAAGCAAAAATTGGAATTCAAGTTATTGGTATTTTCAGACTATGTAGGCCTACTGTAATCTTTAAAATGAGGGGCAATTCACTAAAATTGAATTTTTCAAGCCTTGGTTATTGTTGAGGAGCAGAAGTAACAGCCAAAGATGGTTTTCAGTGAATCACCTTCCAAAGTTATTCAAGCAGGCTTTTTGTTAATGGAATATAATACCAAAAGGATGTGGACTAATAACCTTTTGCCTTTTTTGTCCATTTCCAAAAATATAATTTTGGGACGCATTTTATTAGATATTAAATTGTAATTATAAATTATGAAAACAAAAATTGATTTCTAAGCCATACTCATAGCTCATTTACTCGATGTTGGTATGTGCAACAACTTTAGCCATTTTGCCATGACGTGCCCCATTTTAAATCTACCGATGATAGGGCTATAATGACAAACATTGAATGATTGGTCGATATAACTTACAATGAATTAGATTTGAATAACAGCATTTTGCTTATTTATACTTTTGCTATTTAGTATGATCATCATTCTTTTTTTTTGGTCATCTGTTATTTTAGTGGTTTTTATTATAGTTATAATCATTATGATTGTTCAGTAATACACAGTAATACAAGTGGATTGTAAAAGTGTGAAAAACCACTGTAGAACACTACATCTGGTGCTAATTAAAAGTTACATAACTTTACAATGAACATTTTATTTAAGGTAGATGAAAACTTTTTTTGTATTATTGTTTTGTTATTAAATCATTGTATGATATATGTTATGTCATACAACATTTTAAAAATATTAGTTACATATACTAGTAATTCTGTGCTTCATGTATAGTAACTTAAAGTAATGGTTATCAATGAAATCAAGCCTTTTTAAAACACATTTACTTTTATATCAAGTTTTATTATTTTTATTATTATTATTATTCTATTATGAATATTATTATTTTCATAAAATTCATTGTTGTCATCCTTTTTTATGAGTTTACCTAAATAATCTTTTAAACTTCTCAAAGAATAACTAATAGTATTATCCTACAATTACTTCAAATATCCTTGTGCTAATTTTAAATTGTGAATTTATACCCTTTGTAAAAAAATAAATTGTCTATAGTATTCTTTGTGTTAAGTTAAGGCGAACATCCTTGATATTTATTGGCTAATTACCAACAATGGTGCAATCAAGTTGCATAAACCGCATAGCTTACTGTAGATGTCCAACAGCAACACGGTTATTTTTTTTAAAAATTTTCTACAAAATACCTTGTTTTAATGGCAAACAAGCAATGCCAAGATTGTGAAGCTGGGATTAAAATACACTGCTTTTAACGAGTGGTTACCAAAGATAATAAATATAACTTGCGTTGAAATTTGAACTAGGATGTCTGGGTTGGGAATAGGAAGGGGATTTTAAAGAAATGCAAATTAATCGTAATAATCAATGAATTCAAATTTTTTGGCTGTTATTTAATTTAATCTCTGTCCAGATTGTCAAGTTTTCTTTGACAAAAAAACAGTTGTATACATGACATGATATGCCTATATATGGTCATTATGTTATGATGTCATGACATGATATGCCTATATATGGTCATGATGTTATAATGTCATGACAGTTGTATACCATATATAGACATGATATGCCTATATATGGTCATGATGACATGACCATATTTAGACATGTCACATGGTTTTTGGTTTGTTTTTTTTGTAAAAAAATAAGAGTTAATAGTCTGCAGCTTAAGACTGGTGCTTTCCAAAATGATTGAAAAAAAATAATAAGGATAACTTACAAGATTTTAATAAATATAATGTATACAGAGGGGTCATGCACTATTGTAAGCATTTAAAAGATTGTTACTGTAATATTGAGAGCCTTGATCATAAAGCTATGGAAATTTTTTCCTCCCACTCTGGTTCAAGATTATCCAGATCACCTTGTAGTGTCCCCCTTCAAAGTTTAAATGATCAATATTTGGAGACTTGTTTTTGTCTTTTGTAGGTTCACTTATTTATCTAATATTCTTTCATTCCTTATTCAAGGACCACATTGTATAAAGAGTAGTTACATTTCTGTTTTCATTGTCAAATTATTTTTAAATGTTTATTTTATAACTGTTTCTGCTTTTATGCTCGTAAAAGAAATATTTATGATTATGTTATATGTTACCAACTGTTGAATGTACTGTATTATGCAAATTAGGTGCCAAGTAGAATTGTATTATCATTTTTGTTTATTTCAAGTATGGAGAATTAATCATAAGGTTGCTGATAATGATTGGTGGGTTTGGTGCAAATTAATCAAGGGCTTCAGCCTTAAGGTGTGTTAGGGGAAGGGAGATCCAATAATTTATTGAGGGGAGGTATTCATTATTGAAGCAAGCACATTTACTGGCAATCTAGGGGAAACCTTTTTGGTGAATTCTTTTCCAGGGGAATTCTTTTTTGGCAAAATCCTTTTCCGGAAAAATCCTTTTCTGGGGAATGCTTTTCGGTGATTACTGAAATCTTTTCTGAAATCACTGGGGTGTTGGAATGATAACATGGATTGTTGGCAAAATGCCCACTGAAGCGCAAGTCCTAAAAAATTGTCAGTGATTAGACTGAAATATTACTTTTTCTAATTACTAGCAGACATGGAAAGTCTTTATGATGTCAAAAAAAGTCTGATCAAATAAGCTAGTGACTCTGACAGACACAAATCTGACACTGGCCATCATTTCTTGAATATTTATATTAATTTCTTTGTCCACACTATTAAGTTTTATGTGACAAATGCATTAAGCTCTGTCCACACCATCAAATTTTATGTGACAAATTTACGTGATGTGCCCATATATGGTAGTGATGTCATATTGCATCCATATATGGACATAGTGATGTCATATTGCATCCATATATGGACATAGTGATGTCATATTGCATCCATATATGGACATAGTGATGTCATATTGCATCCATATATGGACATAGTGATGTCATATTGCATCCATATATGGACATAGTGATGTCATATTGCATCCATATATGGACATAGTGATGTCATATTGCATCCATATATGGACATAGTGATGTCATATTGCATCCATATATGGACATAGTGATGTCATATTGCATCCATATATGGACATAGTGATGTCATATTGCATCCATATATGGACATAGTGATGTCATATTGCATCCATATATGGATATAGTGATGTCATATTACATCCATATATGGACATAGTGATGTTATATTGCATCCATATATGGACATAGTGATGTCATATTACATCCATATATGTACATAGTGATGTCATATTACATCCATATATGGACATAGTGATGTCATATTACATCCATATATGGACATAGTGATGTCATATTACATCCATATATGGATATAGTGATGTCATATTACATCCATATATGGATATAGTGATGTCATATTACATCCAAATATGGGCATATCACATTTTTTTTGTGACAAAATTTAATAGTGTGGACAGAGCTTAATATATGGGTATGATGTGATATCATCATGTCCATATATAGGCAACAAAATGATACTTGTCACAGAAAAATTGATACTCTAGTGCGGACAGAGTTTTATGTGCTATTTTTATTTATGATCTCCTTTGCCACTTCCAAAAAGTATTTTATGTTCACACTGCCCATCTTGCCAAAGAACCATGGCTCTCCAACGTCCCTTGCGTAATCTTTTGTAAACCTTGCTCTGTGTAGTAAAATTTAGGACTGATATAAATTAATCAATGATAAAATGTTAATTACACTGTATCTATATTGTTTATTATTTGTGCTTCCAACAAGGCTTGGTTTACCGGCCCCTGTGTAGTAATGTAAGCTTAAAGGGCATCCGTGGAGGGTTTTGTCCGGGAGGGGGTGTCTTAATGTTTAATGAGCCAGTCTAAAATAAAGATGTACATTACAAGGTAAAATTGTATTGTCATGGGGATAGAGATTCTTATTTTTTGAGATTCCAATAGTAGTAGTATTGAAGTAAGAAAAGTATTCAGGTAGAATATGTGAACTGTATCTTTATTCATCATGATATTTATGCATTTTTCATGGACTTTTAATATTCATCACATATCCTAAAAATGAAAGTAATTAGGTTAGTTTCTGTAAATTGGTCATGAAACCTCCAAAAATCATGGGATATTAACAAAATTTAAGGGTGGTGATGGAAAATAAACTTTTATATCGTAAAAATTGTACATATTAGATGTAGCAATTGTTTTTAAAGTTTAAATAGAAAAAAATAATAACAAGCTGATATGGAAAAGCTTTTCTCTGCAAATTGGCTGTATTTATATAAAAAAAAAATAAATTAATTGTTCTTGAATCATGAAAAACTGAATACCAAAGGCTTATGTATAGGCTTTGAAACTTTAAACTTGCCAACGAAAACTCATTTTACTTTCAGAATCAATTTTCTAGAATATATTATTTGTTTACTTAAATTTCTAGAGTGATGTCTGAATTGATAACATTTAAATATGAAATTGTAAACCTTAAAATGATAGAAATGCACATTCCTATCTGTAAACGAAGTGACATGTATCCAATCAGGTTTTGTATTTAATCTGGTGGAGTCAATATGGACAGAATTTAATGTTTGTGTTGAGCTTGCTAAATTGTTTGGGTTAAATATAAAATAAATTTTTAAAAACCATGCCAGTTAAAAGTGGAACATTCTCAAGTTCTGTGTTATCAGGGATAAGAACCAGTTTTGGTGTACCTTGTGCTAAATAAAACTTAATACCACATGTCTAAAAATATACCCAGCACACCTTTCCTTTAGGGAGAGGAAAGTGAAAAACAATCTCTTTTTAGTAGCTTAACAGAAAGCTACATCCCCAAACATGGATATGTTATAAGCATAATGTAATACATGTTAGTCCTGCTATGCGACTTTCTGCGATACACGGTATTACTTGCTATGATTCAGATGGCTGTTGAATACAGCGATCGCATAGAATTGTAGTCGATTACAGTATTCCTAGGTTTAGTAGTCCAAGTTTTGTGTGTGACCTGTTTGTATTGTCCGGATACCTGTCTTTGAAATGCATGCCATGAAAATAAAAAAATACCGACAAGAGTAAAATATTCAGTCATGCGTTGTTTGTGTCTTATGAAGCTATAAATAGATTAAATATTGATAGAAATAACTGATGGATGGATGGTGGTTCTTTACTAACCGCTTTCATGTCTAGGTTTACTGGGTCTATTATATATTCTTCAGTTATTTCTTTAGCGCCTTTTCAGAAATGTACTAGTACCTCTGTTATGGACAGATGAGAGAAGCTGGTACTGGTTTACTGGGTAGCTCAGACATGAAGAGACCCTTAGGGGAGAAGAAAGTTACTGTACGAGCTAGTCCACGCCTCCAACACTTCGAGACCTTTCGGTATAACAGCGCTATATAAATCTAACTACATTACATTGCACGCTACATGAGTAACACCTCTAAAGCTACGTTCACATCAAAGGCCGGATCCGGTTCGCAACCCCGACAAAAAATTGTGAGTTGCTACGTTTTTTTTAACATTGCGCACGGAACACGGTTATTCGGGTTAAGTACGTATGCGTTCGATTGGTTTGGACCAACCAAGCTTGTTGCTGATTGGTCCAAGTGAATAAAATGTACGATTTCACGATACAAACCGCTCTCAAATCCATCGGTCCGGAGTTTGGCGTCCGGATTGGAAATCGTACAAATTTGATGTGAATGGTCCTATTCTTTACCACTGAACCCACTTTACACGATTTTTTGTCCGGGAACCAGACCGGATCTGGGCTTTGATGTGAGCGTAGCTTAAACAAATGCAGACTGGGTCCCAAATAATTGCAGGTCCAGTAACAAAACGGGGGCCGCTGGGAGCACTTATGTTCCAACAATATGGGGTGTTCAAGAGTATTCAATATCATTTTGAACACTTCAGATATTTCACAAAAAGCCTGATTAATGTGGACAGACCTTAATAGCCACTGCCCAACCCAAGCAGATAAGCATATTTTTCTCTAATAAAATCATAGAGCGAAACGTTGAAATCCACAATTACAATAACCATGGAGGTATAATAATAATAATAAATTTTTTAATCAACAGAAAACCCACACATTGGGAATGGAAAAAAAAACACTGGGAATTTAAGCGACCAACTACTTTTGATCCAGTTGTCATGCAAACTCAACCTAGATACCCTGTGGCTGCCCTGTTTCTGGGATCCCAACAGCAGTTCCTCCCCCCCCCCCCCCCCAAAAACCAAAAAAAAACCAAAAAAAAAAACCTGTGCTACTGTTAATACTCAAAAAGTCAAATGGGAATTTAGGGTATAATTATAATAGAAAAAATGATGACATCACTAAGAGCCCCATCTCTGAGTATTTGTATATGCAATAACATATGAAATGCCAGACTCGGTCATTAATTAATACAATACTATAAACAGTAGAAAAAGATCAGATACGAAAACATGATATTGGTAATAATTATGTTGATAATAAGGATTTTAAATGAATATATTATAAGACCTGCTAACCTAATTGATTAGTTAATCATTCATTCATTCTACATTCTCTGATGGATTGAACTTCCCAGAAATTGATGTGAGACAATGATATTAAAATAAATGATTACATTCTATTAAACATAAATCAGGTGTTGTATTGCTATAAGAGAAAGACATCTGGGAGGCCTTAATATTAATCACTGAAGTAAAATATAAACACAGTTATAATAGAATTCCATTTTGTTTGTAATTAATTGATTCCAAGGTGTTTTTTTTCCCCTAATATATTTCATTATTGCTTGAACACGCTTGTTAATAATCGGACTGGGAATAATTTAATTCTGATATTATTTGTAGTAATGTGACATGTCCACGAAGCATGTTGATAATTATGTGAAGTTGTTAATGAACACAATCATGTGTTTTCTTCGCAAGGAATGATGGAAAGATAAATAACCATGAGGGAACTGAAGACAGCAAGATTATCAGTTAATCTAGGATATTGCAGTGAAGCATTTTGTTTGTAATTTATTGATAGCAATACAACGTCTGATTTATGTTAAATAGAATGTCTATAATATATATAAATAAAGAGTGTATATAATGTATATATATATATATATATATATAAATTTTGAGCGTAA